GAAAGTTCGTGTCCAAAAAAACCTTTTTGTCTCAAAAAATAAGGTACATGATTTGTGGAAAAGGTGKAATTTATATTTTGCATATGTTAAAGTAAAGCCTTAGATTCTTAGCTATTTTAAATCAGTATGGATTTATTGACATGAGTTAGGTTGCTGTTATTCATACCAATGGAGAATCATTGTCTTCTTGGATATGGAAGTCCAAAAAGTATCCCAGTTCAGGAAACTGTGCCATCATAGTTACRGGAGGAGCAAACTATTTAGAATCTTAACTATATGCTCTCTGGAATACCTCCAAAGTGCTACTTTTAGGGGTACATATTCCATTAGCCTCTAGGCCCATGGCTGAGTCGGTGATAATTTTGATCACATTTTCACAGATGTCACATATCACAGTGTRTGGTGACAATACTGAATTAAGGTATGGTGGGATGCATTTTGTACCATGTAGTGCATTGTGTTTTTTTTTTTATCTGGTCTGGTTTGTAATGTCAACTGTAAGAATAAAAATATGTCAACATAACTTAGATAGCATTGCATTCTGAAGTAGTCAGAATGAACAGCCAGGGTCAGAGACAATGCACATGAAGCCAGTACTGTGCTGCATTATGTTTAGTTAGCCATTTAACAGTTGTGGAAACTGCCTGCTTGTAATGAGTTTTCAGAGAGAAAGTTAACAATTTGACTTCTATTCATGGCTGCTGTCCTGTTGYCCTCACAGTTTATCATGGTTCACAGGTGATGTGTAGCAGGAGTAATGGTCCCAGAATTGTAGATAAGCACCTGCACTGTGGCAGTGAATAGGCTAAAAAGAAATCCTTTATGGGAGGAAGTAGGGTTTGTGTATTTTCAGYTTTGCCAGTCTTCCTGTGTGTCTCAGAGAGGGGCACTTAGCCTTCTGGCATCTGTGTGTTTCAGCCTGTGGTATGGGAACACATGTTGTTTCACAGATTTAGAAGTTAATTCCTCATTGATTCTGTCTAAGAGTAGTCTGCTTTATTTATCAAGGCTTTGAGTCTGCATGTGGGGCACTCTGAGCCTACAGCTTTGATTTAGCMACTTGTGCTGAAATCAAATCTTGTACGGTTTCTGAGTAATGTGATTTACACCCAGCACGCATATTCGAGAGAATGTGGACTTTTCCAACCTGTGCAACCTTTGTTAATAAAGATACAGTGACTGCAGTTGACCTCTTATGAAAAGTAGATCCATTTGTGTTTTTATTCTGTGGCCTGAATAGGAGATACAACAGAATGGGCACTGTTCACTGGACGTGGGAATTCTCCCTYGCTCTGACTCATGTAGAGCAGCAGGGAGGGGGAGGAAAATGGGCTCCACAAACACGGTATCCAGTTTTGTAATTTAAAAAACCTTTTTGATCTGAACTTTGTACATTTAATATTTTGGAGGGTATTTAGAAGTTTGATAAAAGTCCGTRGTAGTGTTAGAGAAAGATAAGGCTTACTATTGTACTAAAACTGTGTTGTGGTGCCAARACAGTATATTTCTGTTGCAAGACTAACCGTGCCCATCAAACTTTGTATAATTCGTAAAGAGTAAAGGAAAAAATACCCAATCGTTGCCTAAGTTGCAAAAAGAAAACAAAAAAGAAAAACTTTCATACACAACTATATTGCAAACCAGTGCATTAGCATGATGTACTGCTTCATAGCAGCTGGGGGAAATACAGTGTGCTGAAATTACCAGTGTGGTGGTGGCCTAGATTTTTTGTGTAGAATGGAAAAGATGCTTATTTTTTTCCCCGTTATAATCAACTGTTATTTTGCCCATATGTTTTCTGATGTGTCTTGCAGAGTTTCATGATTGGCTTTCAAARCTGGATGAAATTTTCTGTTCCAGCATTGTGGTCAGTCAGTTTTTAGCATGCATAAAAGAAGCAGTGTTCCTGAGTTTTCCTTCGAGCCTGAGCCTTTGGGAGCTAATGGGGAATAAACTCTTTGTTTATTGCACCTGGCACTTTCTCAAAATCTGCTTCATAGGGGCCAGACCAAACACTTCCTCAAGCAGATAAGGAGGATGGTTTCTCTTCTTGAGTCAAAGCATTGTGACTTTATAATAAGAAAGTAAAAATGTATACTTTAAGGGTACTTTCTGGAGCTAATATATTGCTAACTTTTATCTCAGAAAACCTGARCTTCAGGACTAGTTAAAATGGTAAGTTAAAAAGAAGTATAGACTTTAAAACCACCTGCAATCACAACAGCTATAACAGCATGTATTGTGCCTAGATTGTCTGAAATGAGATTTTTAAGCATTCTAAACAGATACTAAATTGAAAAAATAAAAAAAGCACTGGCCCCCATTTACAAGAGCATTCTGATGTTTTGAGATCCATGGCAGGAGCTCTGGGGAATTTACCCCTGTTGGAGCTTCACAAGAGAGGAAATATAAGGAAATGTGCCCCCTACAACTCCCAGGTCTTTCCAAGGCACTGAATCAGAACCATTCTACAAGTTTCTCAATATGCAGGCTTTTTATTTCTGCTGTTTATATGATTTTGTAGATCTTGTTGGATAGACAATAGTCACAAGTGTCGATCTGTCAGATAAGGCCCAGGAGCTAACCAGACCTTCTGTTTCTTATCCATCTTTTCTTGAATCTTCATTCWTAGGAATTAATCCAAAAGATGTAAATGTGGAAATAATTCTGTATAATCTTCTTAAAGGCAGTCTTTCTGAGATTTGGACAATGCAGAGCAACTGTGTTAATCTTCTACCAGGCAARTGGAAGCAATTCTCTAGAGTAAAATCCACTGATTGATTGTTCAAATTTGAGCTCTATTTTTTCAGGAAATTCTGGTGTTTTGAATTCATGTTTCCACCATGCATTGAAATAAGATTTTTTAATACAGTTAGACTGTGCAATTGTTTTAATATTTTTATATTTTATATTGTAATTTAATGCAAAAGTCAAAACACTTTAACTGTCATGTGTTAAACTGTAACTAACACCAAAGCAATGGATTTGAAATGAAGGATTCTAACTTTACCCAAACTAAGTAGGTGTATTTAATGAAAGTGAAATGTTTTAAGTGCATTCCCTTGACAAAAAAGTTTTAAGAAAATACTGGTTCTACAAAAACATTATCATGATTTTTCTGTTTTCTGGGAAAATGTTTACTTTCTTGGCAGTTTTGAATTAAGCTTTCTCTGTGGGACATCACTCTAAACACATGAATGCTATAATACCGATTTTAGTAGAAATGGCTCAGATGACTTCTAATGGAAAACATAACTGACCTGGAATTTCTTGATGGGAAATGTAACACGATGTAACAGACTTCAAAGTCTCCTATGAGAAATATGCTAGAAGCAAAACATYTTAGAGTATACTGTAGAGGGAAAAAAATGGAAGCTTTTTGTGGAAATGTGCTATTTCATGTCTGTGAYTGAATTTTGTTTTATTTCAACCTGAAATGAAAGGTTTATTCTTCAAGGACAATAATGGCATGTTTTTTGTAACTCCTTAGCTTTCAACAATAGTGTATMATATTCGGTTCACCATTGTGTTAAAACCGTGTTTTTCTGACTGCTGTGGCATAATGATTTATTAGTGTTGACACTCCAGGGCTGTTTGTCAAAAGCTCAGCTTTTGCTCCTTCTGGCATATTACATACAAATTATGTAAATCACTATAGTGCAGGTTTTAACCTAATTATGTTACACATCTTGAACAATGATMATTTTTGTCAGGGAAAGACATCTGTCATTTTAGTCGTTGATACATTTATTTTCTTTCGGTATTCTACAAAAGAAGCCACATTAAAAAATGATAGTATGTGTGCAGGTTTTGCTGCTGTGCAGCTTTTCTGCTTATGCTGCTAAAATATGTGAAAGCTGGTTTCTTTTAAGACTTTAATAATCTGTAGGAATTAGCAGTAAACTGTAACTTCACTTACAGAATTTCGTAGAGGACTAGAAAAATGTAGTTTCTTCACATATAGATAGATGAATGTCTATTCATTTTAGCTCAAATAAATGCTGTATTGACAACAGGGATCAGACTTCTGTGTGCACGCACGAAGACAGACTTTCCATCTGTAGAGTTACAAACTGAAATGAAACTCAAGTCAATCCAGACAAACTTCCCCTACTGAAGAAATTGGTCTGAGTTGTGGTCAACTGAATGCCAGCCTGAGATCCCTACTAGCCCAGCCCAGCTGGCATCCCTGTTAGCTGTGTTTAGCACAGCAGAAGGACCAAACTACCCAAGGCGAGTCTGGGCTCAGGGGTGGTGGCAGGCCAGGACTGGGAGTGTCTTTTATCATATCTGAGGTTTGAAGGAAGACATCTGAGTGCAGGACTGTCAGCTCTTCATTTATAAAGACGCATGCATACATATGGTTTACTTAAAAAATAACCTTCATATCACCTAGATTCCATTTAACTTCATTTGCTTGTCAACAGGAGCTGAGAAATCTAGCCACATTTGTAAGCTTCGTGGTTCTTGCAAAATACTGCTCATTTAATTGAAGATTTTACACTGAGTTTTACATAACATCTTGYAATGACCTAATAGAAATATAGGCAGTGTGACATGGTTCATTTGGGCTGCGTGTCCTTGGGTTGTATTGCTCATACCTTATTAGTCTTCAGCAAATGTTCCACTTTTCTTTAGTTTTGGCAAGCTGCTTGGAACACCATTTCCTTCTTTTCATTCTGGTGGAGTCCAATTGTTCCTTGCTTATACTACATTAGCCTTTCCCAGAATTTAGCCTGGAGCTTTTATACACTGGGGAGTTTCCAGTGTGTTTAGATTATAAAATGGTTTCCTAATGTGACTGTGACAGAACCATACTTTCAGATAACACTATCAAACTAGATTTTGGTGCTTTTTTTCCCCTGTGTTTCTTTGCAGTGTTTTGATATACAGAAATTATGTGAAAAATAATTTTGTCTCTTGAAAGTGATATTTTTCAAATCATCCGCCCAAATAGTTAGGATTGTCCCAGAACCTATTCTTCTTCTGTTTTTCTTTAGGTTTGTGTAAATCAATTGGCGTAAGCAATTTTCTTATCASCCATCTTGAGCAACTAAAGGAAGACTGTGTGATTACTCCACATGTTAATCAAGTGAGTGGATTAATGTATTTAAATTATCTGGGTTTGGGTTTTTGCTTTGGTTTTTTGGGTTAACAACCTCCTCCCCACCCCTGTGCCCAAGACTACACCCAAATGATTGCCTTAGTCATACAATTTCTCCTTTCATTTCAATTTACATACGGAAAACCATTCAGGAAGATGACCCAAAGGGCAGGGAAGTCCTTCCTCCTCTTTCCCCCACCCAGTTTCTCCCAGGCTACTTGTTTGTGTCTGGGTTTAAGACACAAACAAATGGTCCCCGTGACAGTTTTTTGATGATAAAACAGTTTAGAAATAAAATTTAACAATCACAGAACCTTTGGCATATTCAAGGGGAACAAGTTTTTGGAAAGCCTGTGTTCAGATACTTTTTTACTTCCTATAAGCAACAACTGAAAGCCTCAGTTAATTACATATCTGTGCAAGGGTGCCCTTTCCCTTGCTCCCCACTCATTTCCTATTTCAAGTAAATTCAGGGAACTCCTCCTTTAGACAGGTGCTGTGACAGCCCTGGCAAAATTTTTTTTGCTGCCCTAGGCAGATCTRGGATGGCCACCTACATACCGGCAGGCTGCCAGGACACTCGACAAATGTTCCCTTGTTGCAGGTTTCTGCCTRCAGCTGTGCTGCAAGTTCATGCTCCTATTCCTACCACTCCTGCCAGAGAAAGTGCACTTATGCTGACATGGATGTGGGAACTGGAATGGATGGGGTGCAGGTGAATCCTTTTCCCCTTTGTACAGGTGGTCAGGATTTCTGGCAGCTGTTCATGGTTTAATGTCATTAACTACCATAAAATAGTTGCTCAGTGTGACTCCCAGAACCAAACAGCTCTGATTTTWGCTGTCCACTAGACTAAAGGTTACTAAAGGACAATCAAGTAAAGTTAAATAAGCATAAAACCATACAAAATATTTAAATTCAGTTATTCAAAAGAAACCATTGAAATACATGTAAAGTGGGTAGGTTGATGACTGTTCAATAGTGGATCTGCTAAGATTCAAGAAATAAACATGTATTAAGTC